TAGACTCAGGAAGGAGTCCACCAGAGTATGGGGAGGTAAAGCCTCTTCCTCCCACGTAGACTCAGAGTGGAGGAAAGGTGCAGTGGCCTAAGGTTAGAGCCCAGAGAGTGGGAGGAACTCGCCCAAGGTCATGGAGTGTAACCAGGATTCAACTCCAAGTCCTCGGGCTTCAAAGTCAGAGCTCTTCCCACTTCCCAGGGGTAGCCTGCTTTTTGCGCCCCTCTTCGGGGGCAGAGCAACAGGGTCTGGTCCTTAGAGACGCTTCCAGCCTGCTCCCCATGGAGAGTCAGGCCAGCTTGGGAAGGGAGGCCTATAGCACAGACTGGGCCAGCCCTCTCTGTCCTTACAGCCCTCACTTTATGACAAATGACAGTGTGTGACTCCAGGGAAATGTGTGATATTTGGGAACGTCATAAGCTAAGGTCATTCTACTTTGTCAAGAGCCCGTAATGGAAGGTAAGCTTGCCTTGAAGTGAAGCTACTTCCCCAGCACAGGAAGGCAGCTCCCGGCAGTTTGGGGGGTTATGTCAGCCTCTCAGATAAAGAATGACTCAGAGTTGACTCTGAGGTCATCCAGTCCATTCCCTTCCACCAAACAGGATTACCCCCAAGTCCTCCCTGCCAGGCGGCCTCGGCATTGTCAAAGCCTTTCAGGAGAGAGATGTCATTGCTTCTGGCTCGCCCATCCTTGCTTGCACCCAGTGCTGGGGTGGAAAGAAGGAGAGGGTGGGGGCTAGGTGCTCAGGCTGCTCTCAGGAGAAGGATGCTGAGTTAAAATAAGCCATTCCACACTGAAGCAGACTGATGGTGTAGCTGTCAGCTGGCACACTCCAGGTCATCAGGAAAGTTGCAAGGCAACTCAATAATTTAACAAAATAATTCATGTTCTGGGAATGCAGCCTATTTTAATAAGCTGAAGTTCACTTACCCAGCCCCACTGGTGATGGATGGCATCCCTAGCCTCCAGGTCCCCAAAAGAGCCACATCTTGGGGCAAGCTTGGCTCTGGGACAGGACTTGATGGGGCCCAGAGAAGGGACAAACAAACAGCATAAGCATTCATATATGTGCCTCCACCTTTCACCAGGACCACAGGCAGCTAATTCTGATAAAAGGACCAGATTGAGGGAGTTGAAGGCAAGGATTTGATCTCACCTCCCCATTTCACAGTCAAAGGTTAGAGGATGAAGATACAGTAATGGCTGAGGAGCTCCTATTGAACCAACCCTCCCACAAATAGCAACTATAAAATCTGGAGAAAATATAAAAAATAATTACCTGAAGGCACTAGAAAACCAAAAAAACCTGTTGCCATTGAGTCAATTCTGACTCATAGCGACCCTACAGGACAGAGCACAACTGCCCCATAGGGTTTCCAAGGAGTGACTGGTGAATTCAAACTGCCAACCTTTTGGCTAGCAGCCACAGCTCTTAACCACCACACCACCAGGGCTCCAAAGGCACTAGAGAGAGAACAAAATCAGGCAATGACTAGAGAGGAGTGGACGCTTGGAAGAAGGGAATGGCACTGAATGAGTTTAGCCTGAGGACAGGCCTCAGTCAACAATACTCTGGGTGGCTAAAATACAGAAACCGAAAGCCTAAGAAGAACCACAGGACAAACCCAGGGTGGATCCAGCAGCTAGAAAGTGAAGAAGAAAATCCCAAAAAGGAAAGAACTACAGACAGGGTGTCATAGATTGAATTGTGTCCCCTGAAACTATGTGTCAACTTGGTTAGGCCATGACCCTCAGTATTGTGTGGTTGTCCTCCATTTTGTGATTGTAATTTTATGTTAAAGAGGATTACAGTAGGCTTGTAACATCCTTACTAAGGTCACATCCCTGATCCAATGTAAAGGGAGTTTCCCTGGAGTGTGACCTGCACCACCTTTTATCTTACAAGAGATAAAAGGAAAGAGAAGTGAGCAGAGAGTTGAGGACTTCATACCACCAAGAAAGCAGCACTGGGAGCAGAGCACATCCTTTGGACCCAGGGTCCCTGCAACCGAGAAGTTCCTTTTCCAGGGGAAGATTGAGGATAAGGACCTTCCTCCAGAGCTGACAGAGAAAGAAAACCTTCCTCTGGAGCTGACACCCTGAATTTGGACTTTAAGCCTACTTTCCTGTGAGGAAATAAATTTCTCTTTGTTAAAGCCATCCACTTGGGGTATTTCTATTATAGCAGCACTAGATGAAACAATATCAGTCAAAACAAAAAATCAGCACTTTCCAAGGAATATAACAGAATCCCATCTCTATAACGTGTCATTCATAATGTCCAAGATACAATCCAAAATTACTAGACATATGAAGAAACTGGAAATGTTACCTATACTGAAGAGAAAAGGCAATCAGTGAAGACCCACCCTGAGATGACCCAGATGTTGGAATTAACAGTCAAGGATTTAAAGCAGCCACTATAGCTATGATTTTACTTAATATAATTGTATTTATTTTGTTTTTGTTGTTGAGAATATACACAGCAAAACAAACTCCAATTCAACAGTTTCTACACGTACCATTTAGTGACACTGATTGCATTCTTCCAGCTGTGTAACCATCCTCACTGTCCTTTTCTGAGTTGTTCCTCCCCCATTAACATAAATTCACTGCCCCTTAAGGTTCCTACCTAATCTTTCCAATTGCTGTTGTCAATTTGATCCTATATAGATAGTTCTTCAAAGAGCATAATGCTCAAGGCAGACATTTTTTACCAGTTAAACTAAACTATTGTTTGGTTTTAAGAAGACTTCAGGAGATATTTTTGGTTTAAGGTTTAAAGATAATCCCAGAGCAACAGTTTCAAGGGTTCATCCAACCTTCATGGCTCCAGGATACTATACCAAAAAACCAAACACACTGCCATCAAGTCAATTCTGACTCATAGCGACCCTACAGGACAGAGTAGAACTTTCCCATAGGGTTTCCAAGGAGCGCCTGGTGGATTCGAACTGCTGACCTCTTCATTAGCAGCTGTAGCTCTTAACAACTGCAACACCATGGCTCCCCAGGATACTATAGCTATGCTTAATGTCTATAGCTACTACAGCTTTGCTACTAAAAGCAAGTTGGTAGCAAAACTTCAAAGAAAACCAGTACTTAGGCTTTTCAGTATGGAGCAAGTTCTCCTATTCACGTTGCCCACCATGATTCTTGCATAAACCCCAAAGAAGCACTGGGTTCACAAAGAGGAAGCAAAAGAAAAATCTGAAGTCAACACAGATGCTCAGCAACTAGGAAATAGGCCCACCAGGTGGTCTTCCCCTTATCTGCTTATTTACCCCTTATCTGCTCATTTCTTACCCCTCAAATAATAATGCCACCTCATACCTTTCTCAATTTCCCCCTGCATTTCTCAAAGTATTTTCACATTCTTGACCTCACTGGACCCTGGTAGGTGGGGCAAAGATGATTGTATCTGTTTGATGAGTACACTGGGAACCTCCAGATAAAGTGACTTGCCCAACGTCATCCCGCAAAACATACCCTCTCTTCCTTCCTCTCCTCTCTCCGGTGACATGAGTGAAGCCCTTCCCCAGGACAGGAAGGCAGTGACTGAGAGTGGAAGGGTGACAATGGTTTGCAGGACTGCAGACAAGGGCCCAGGATTAGCATGTACAATTATACAGGCTGAGCACTGCCCAAGGGTGGCCTGGCCAAGGTGCCAAGGGATTGCCGAAATCTAGCCTGCACTCTGCTCTCCAAACCAGATGCCTCGCCGTGGGGCTGCATCTTCCCTGGGGGAGGGGAGGAGGCTGTCTTAGGCTGGATTTTCCCCTAGAAGCAGACCTGAGATAAGGATTCAAGGATAAACAGTTTAACTGGGAGGTAATCCCAGGAAGCACTGATAGGGGAGTGGGAAAGCAAGACAAGAATGAAGGCAGTCGATACAAGGTGTGTTACTGAGCAGGTTACTACTTTGGGCAACCGAGGTTCGACCCCCTAGGGGCTGCTGGGATATGGTGTAGCACACTTCTCGGAGTTGTCCCCTTTACCCTAAGGGCGAGGACAACTGTAGATATGTATCCACCAACTCCCCATCTGTCATTAGTCAAAGGATGCCTCCAAGGGCATTAACTCTCTAACACTTCCACCCTGCCTTGCCCACAAGCTCCTATGGCTAAAAAAAGGCTTTAGCAGAGCATCACAGGCGTTCAGTGTGTCGAGTGGGGGCCAAGGGGATACGGGTGGCACAACAGCAATATCTGCTGCAGGGGCCTTTCTCTAATGTACACAGACGCTCCGGTGCGCCAGCCGCAGCCCTGAGTTCCTGCCATCCAAGAGAAGTACTCACCGGTGTCTGGTACACTTGAACCAGTTGAGGATGTCCGTGCATCGCGTGTAGTAGATCTGGTCAAAAGGGTGTGCATATGATTCCTGGACCGTCACAGCATAGCTGAGAACCAGAGGGAGAACAGGGAGGATGGTCAAAACTTGGGAGGCTCAGCAAGTATTCAGGATGGGGTCACCCTCCCCGGCTTGGCGGGGGTGGGGGGGGCCAAGACCACAGCCAAGTGCCCAGGGGCTCCAATCACCCCTACTATCCTCCTCCTGCCCAGATGCCCTCAGAGGGAGGCCAAACAGGTATTCACACCTCCCTGACCCCAAGCTGGATCCAGGGCACAGCTCTTCCTGCCCTTTGCCTCAGCTCATTTCTGAGATTCAAGCTCATTTGTTCATTTAACAAAGAATGAGTAAAGGAGGGCTTAGGTTTACTCCGTGTGGCTCTGGAAGACAAAGCTAAGTTTATCCTTTATGTTTGTTCAGACCTTTATGGTTTTCAAAGCACATGCATGGAAGCTGATCCTTGCAGCATTCTGTGAAATAGGTGGTCCCGTTTTATAGATGAAGAAGGTAAGGTTCCGAGAGAGGCAGCTGCCTGCTGCTACCAATAACTGTTAATATTTATTCAGTGCCCTGTGTGAATGAAGTGCTTTACAAATAGCATACCATTTAATCCTCACACAATCTTATAAGGTAGCCGGAATTACTATCCTCATTTCACAGATGAGAACACTGAGCACCAATCAGAGGATAAGTGACTTCCCCAAGGTCACCCAGTTGCCTTCAGCTCTATTCTGCCTATAGGAATCGTTGCGGGTACAAGGAGGACATGCCCCCAGATCTCCTGATATAATGGTACTTTGTTATCCTGCTTGTTAGCTGGAAACATGGACCAGTGAGTAGAAGCTGTAGAAAAGCAGATCTCAGCTTAACCAAGATAAGCCTTTCTATCTGCCCGCCCCCGGCAGGGGTTGTAAGAAACAGCATCAGAGCCATTGCTACTGATGGCAGAGCCAGGATGAATGCTAAAGCGAGGACTCCCACTTCCTGTGCGAGCTGAAGAGAAGACCTCAGCTGAGATTTTAGAAATGAATTTTTATGTGAGCTGGTATTATGCAGTGTTTTCCCCAGAAGCCTCACTAGCCTGGGCCAGATGGCTGGGCCCAGGCTATAAAAGCCCTTCTGCTTTGCCTGAGGAAATTCTGTTGGTTTCCTTGCAAGGAGGCGGGGCCGGCCAGGTCCCCAGGTGGGTTCACAGCAGCCTCTGATACCTGAAAGGTCAGAGGTCTAGAATCCAGAAAGAGGAGGTTGGGAGCAGTCAGCAATGCCTAGGGACCAAGGGTGGTGGGAAATTCTGCTTCTCTGAGGCACTAGGGATGTAAGGAAGGAGGAGCCCTCGGTGACCACCCACCAGCTGGCACGCATCTATGCAGATATGGTCCAGACCCCTGTTTTATCTCTAGGCTTGGGGAAACTGAGGCAGCTCAAGAGCCACCCCCAGCTTCCCAAAGGTTTCTTCCCACTCTGAAATTCTATGATTCTACCAAGTACCTCAAGGGTCCCTGTGTGGCACAAATGGTCTGCACTCGACTACTAACCTAAAGGTTGGTGGTTCGAACCCACTCTGCGACACCGCGGAAGAAAAGCCTGGTGAGCTGCTTCCATAAAGATTATAGCCCAGAAGACCCTATGGAGCAGTTCTACTCTGACACACATGGAGTCTCCATGACTCAGAACCAACTCAACAGCAACAAGTTTGTTTTTTGTGATTTACCGGGAACCTCACTTAGAAGCAGGATAATGAATGGGTAAGAGTCGATGGGCTCTGGAGTGCAAACATGTGGGTCAAGTGTGAACCCAGCCTCTTGTTAGCAGTGTGTCCTTGGGCATGTTATTTAGCTCCTATAAGCTTCTGTTTCCCTACCTGTAAACTTGTGATAAATACCACCAGGGACTTCATGTGATTATTACGAGGATTAAAGGAGGCTGATAATAGTATCTACCTCTCAGGGGTAGTGGAAGTATAAAGCAAGACAATACATGTAAAATGCCCAACACAATGCCCAGTACATCGTAAGTGCTTAATACATGTTGGCCATCATTATTATATGGAGTCCCTGGGTAGTGCAAATGGTTAACACACTCACCTGCTAATTGAAAGGCTGGAGGTTCGAGTCCACCCAGAGGCGCCTTGGAAGAAAGACCTAATGATCTACTTCTGAAAAATCAGCTACTGAAAACCCTATGGAGCACAGTGCACTCTGACACACACGGGGTCACCATGAGTCAGAGACAACTTGATGGCAACCAGTTATCATCATTATATGGTGCGCACAGATTCACCTCCCATGCTAGGCAGAGAAGGGTATTTCCTCCCTGACCATGGTGGGGAAGAGAGGGAGCAGGACCTGCATACAGAATGGGCCCCTACCTTTGTGAAGCACTCGGCGTCAGGCTCCCCTTCTACAATGATAGGGACAGTGGATGCTCAGAGAAATGGCACCCGCCCAGTGGGGGAGGGGGGAGCTCTGCAGGGGGGCCCGGGCTGAGCAACTCTGGCCCCCAGACATTGTCCTAGCTCCAAGTCTCCGACCTGAAGCGTGTGCCCCTGGCTTCATGGCTGGGTAGTTTAACACTGCTCATTTGCCAACATGCTAATGAGGGGCCAGATTAATCTTGTAGAGCCAGGCTTTACTAGCCAGGGGAGGCCTCTGTACTGATTTTATGGTGGAGGGACATAATTAACAAGGAAGCCGCCAGAAGCACTCATCCAGCTGGGAAATTCTCCCTAAGAGGTCTCTGGGGGACCAGGGTGGGGGTGTTTCTGGAATGACTCAGAGACTGGATCCACCCACGTGTAACAAGCAATGGAGCTCAGTTCAAAAGGATGTTTTTGGGTAAGCTGGGAAGGAGAAGTGCCCTCACGTCACCAAGCATCACCACCAGGGCCTCCTCCCTAGGGGATGGAGAAGCCTAGGGAGTCCCCAGACCTCCTTTTCACTGTTAGGTTCGCTCCCTGTTCTCCTGTCAAAGCTCTAGCTGGGCTGATAGCCAAATCAGCCTGAAATTCCAGCACTGTTCAGGCTGGGTTCAGAATATTTTCACATTTCAGATTTGTTCATGTTGGGCAGGTTTAAAAGATTAGAGAGTTTGGTCTGGGTTTGACTGATCCATTGGTGCAAATGGGATTCAAAGAAGAGAGAAGTTAGGGTGGGCCCTGCAATCAGGGAAGGCTTCCTGCAGGAGAGAGACCCAGATTGGAGCCACGGGAGAGGGTGGCGGTGAGCAGGCATTCCAGGTGAGACACAGCTCAGACAATAGCTGGGAGTAACTGTGTCTCAGCTGGGCCAGGCAGAGAAGAGGGGTTTGCTGAGGCTGGAGTCGGCCACCCAGAGAGACCAGCGAAGGTTCCACCTGATGTCTCTCTGACCCACCGAGAAATGAAGATTTACACTCATCAAAACCAGATGGGGCAAGGAGCCTGAGTAACTTCAGAATCTCGAGAAAGCTTATGAAAAACTCAGGTTCCTGGGCTCTACCCCCAGCCCTGTTGACTCGGAGTTTTGAGGATATGACTCAGGAGACTTCATTTGTTTACACACTCCCTGGTGAGTCTGATGTGGATGAACATCTGTGATAACCAGCTCCTGGAAAACCAGAGTTATCAACAGTAAAAGGCAAGAACTGAGCTCTATGGTCCCCAAAGCACCTTCAGGAATTGTTGCCTTTGGTCCTTCAGCAAGCCTGTGAGGCAGGAGTGATTCTTCTTCCCACTTTACAGAGGCAGGAAGCAGGCTCAGAGACTTCCCAAAGTCACCAAGCCAGCAGGTGGAAAAGTCCAGACTGGAATGAACCCACGCCTTCTCACCACAGATCCTATATGCTTGCACCTCACCAAAAAGGGGCAGACAGCCCCATTAGCTCTTGCCCCAGCCTCGACTGTGTAGGGACGCCAGGTAAAGCATCTGGACATGGGCGATCATGCCAGTGTGGGCACTGTCCGTCTGTCTCCCCAGCCAACTCCTCCTGGCCCCACAGGTGTCCAGGCTAACCCAGAGCTCAGTCCTGCATGGACCAGGTGCCTTTCCCTGCCACGGGGCTGGGACATTCACCCTCACAGCATGGAGCACGGACAGCCCCTCGCCCCCCTCCTCCTCCGCCATCTGCCTCCCCCACTGGGTCCTCATCTTAATTTTATTCATTTGATTTATTAACATCTAAGTGGCAGAGTCGTCCTGGTCAGCACGGCCAATCAATTCCAGGGTTTAATTCGGTTTTTCCTGATTGGGTCTCTGGTCACTGTCTTCCTGCTCACCAAAATCAATACTTTAACCTTGTGCTTCAAAGTCAGGCGGTCTGCAGGGGCCCGGCCCATTCCCCAGGCCTTAGTGCCGCAGCCAGAATGCAGCTGCTTTTCTGTGTCCCCTCCACTGCCCTTCCCATGGCAGCCCCCATCCCAGAGCAGGGCAGCAGGCCCCTCTGCCATCCTCCAGGCTGCTGGCCGTCCCATACCCCAAGCTGCCACGTTGTTGCCAGTCCTGGGAGACCAGGAAAGACATCATAACATCACAGACCAAGACATCTGGGACCACAATCCACACACTGCCACTCCCTGTGCCCCACCTCAACTGCTCTGGCTGTGGACAAGCCCCCAAGCCCCTCTGGGCCTCTGTCTCCTCATCCGTAAAATGGCTGGCAAATTCAAATGCAGAGAGGGACATGACAGCACATTGTCAACTACCAGACTGCAGAATGTAGGCGGCCTGTCACTCAGCCCCTCCACCCTGAGCGCCCACAGCGCTGAGCCTGTACGGACTCTGTCCTGTTCTGTCCTGCCTTTCCGCGTGCGTCTCTCCAGCTGCACAGCAGGCCCCTGTGGACAGGTGCTGCTTCTGCTGACTCCGCTTTTCTCCCAACAGCACCAAACCAGAGTGAGACCCACATCTTACCTCTCCCAGTGGCTGCACACATTGGGGTCCTCGGGGTTCAGGGAGATGGCGATCAGCAGGAGCGAGGAGAATATCAGCACTGTTGCGGTGATCGCCATCCCGGGCCCTGAGCGGGAGAACAAAAGAGGTGGCCGCGTTAATCAGAGCGTTTTCCTGGGCATCTGTTTGGCACCGAGACTTCTCACACGAGGCGGCAGAGCAGACTCGCTAAGCAGACTAAGTTTCCCACCATCGGGGAGTAGCGAGCTTTTGATATGTCACACGCGCAGGCTTTGACTAACATGCAATAGTTCACCCAGTCTGAGTAACTGCAGAGTGGGAGGGCTGAGTCAGGGAAAAGCCGGAATTCTAGCCAGGACGTCTTCAAGTTTGTGGCTCGTGGACTACTGCTTTGAGACTGTGTGAAAGTTACAGACCCTCTCCCCAGAAACAAAAAGGCTCAGACACACAAAATCAGGCTCACATTTCAGGGCGTCCTCAGGCCTCCGTGTCCAACCTGGTACTCAAGAGCTGTTGTTCTGGACTACTTCCAAGGTGACCCTCCTCCCCTGGCCCCTTCTCCCTCAACTGGGGATCCTGAACAAAAGGCTCCTCACACGAGGGCAGAGCATCGTGAAGCTGAGAGGGGCTGAAATGACCCCAGAGGCTCCCTGTCTCCAGGACTTCCTGGTCCTACAACCTGAGAGAACTTCCAGTCCACAGGTCCCCACCTGGTGGGCTGCCAGCCTTGGCGAGTGGGGAGGGCTGAAATTCATATGTTCCCAAGTATCACCTATAGCATGAACACTGTGACTCAGAAAGAGGCTTCTATTTTTCATGTGTACATGCATGCTATTGTGGTTTATTTAAAAGCCTTACTGAGTTCAGAGTAGTTTTTCTTCTCAATCAGCAATACTAAAAAATGCAACTTCTAATAAGGAGGGGTGGGGTGGTATATGAAATATTTTGACATTGGAAAGGGGCCCCCAGGTTTGAAATGGCTGAGAATCTAGACCCTTCGCCCTGCTGACAGACAAGAAAGTACTCACCTACTTCCAGGGGACAGATGCAAGTGGCACATATTCTGCACACACCCCCATTTGTACCCAGAGGGCAGCTAAATGAAGCACCTCTCTTCGTGAAAGGTTGAACACCCTCCTCCCCATCTCCAATCATTTCCCTGTTGAACCCTTTCTTCCACAGACAAACAAATTGTCACAAATTCTGTATAACTGTGGGGGTCCAAATTAATGATTAATGGGGTTGTTCTCTCTATTTGAAGTCTGGAATTAAACTGGCTAAATGCAGTCTGGAAATCAGTTAGGAAAGCAAAGAGCGATTCTGGTGTGTGTGCTCAGTTTGCACAGTCTGGGAGTAAGCAAACCGTAGCCGTTCACCTCTCACCCACGTACCCACTCAGCCCCAGGCCTCGGAGACTAATCAGCACCTAACTGAGGGCCCTGCACACACTGAAATCCATACAACACTAGGGCTGCAACCCTTTCTCCCCAGAGAGGAGGAGAAACAGTCTGGAGACCAGAAAGAGTTTGCCCAGGACCTGACATCCAGTTTTGGGGAGAGTCAAGGGGAGAACAGGCATGTTCTTCCGGGTGGGGTTTGGGCATCGAATAAAGAAGTAAACGAATGATACAGCCCTCCGGAAAACACGGAATCTGGGTGCCAGCTGTAGAGAATGCCTGGGCTTGGTGCTCTCCATGGTACTGACTCATTGCTCTGGCCGCTCCTGTCCTCTCCAGCATTCTCCTGAGAGGAGTCCCAGACAGCATCTTCAAACTTGCCAAGTTTAGAATATCAAAGGTGAGGCCACCTGGACAAAAGAAGATCCAAAGTTGCTCCTCTGGCCCCTTTTGCTCCCTGGTGATGGAAGAGGGGTAGGAGAGGGAAGTAACCTGGATCAATGCTATAATTTAGGAGCTCTTCATAAATCTTCATGAACACCTCTTTCTGAGTCAGGTCTGGACAGGACTGTTCACTTCTCTCCCACTGGCAGTGAAGTACATGAAAACCAGGGCACAGAGAGGGTGGTGGGTGTTTGGATGGGCAACAGGAAGTGGAGACAGACGGGGAGCACACGGATGTAGCCAGCTAGGATTGTCTTATGGATTGAATTATGTCTCCCAAAGAGAGATATGTTGAAGTCCTAGCCCCCTGAACCTGGTATGCAACCTTGTTTGGAAATAAGGTCTTTGAAGATGTTATCAGTGAACATAAGGTCATACAGGAGTTGGGTGGGTCCTAATCCAATATGACTGGTGCCCCATAAAAAAGAAGAGACACACATACAGGTAGTCCCTGACTTATGACATTTGTCACAATGAACCGCACTTACATTGGAATGGAATCCTGTTGTCAGCTGGGACTACCTGTACTCTGTACAATGTTGCAGGACATATGTATGTTTATATGTTTATATGTAATGTTTCCAATGCCCAAAGACAAATAAAGATTGGATTTATAAAGATACTGATAATAAAAGGCAATAATAACGAAAACTAAAAAAATGAGGTATTCGACTTACTTCAGAACCCTGTCTTAAGTCGGGAACTACCTGTACACACAGAGGGAAGAATGCCGGGTGACAATGGAGGCAGAGACTGTGGCTGCAAGTCAAGGATCACCAGCCATTACCGGACGCTAGGAGAGAGGCATGGGACAGATTCTCCCTCAGTGCCCTCAGGAAGAATTGACACAGCCAACACCCTAATTCTGGATTCCTAGACCCCAGAACTGTGAGACAATTAATTTATGTTCTTAGAAGCCACCTAGTTTGTGGTGCTTTATTATGGCAGCCCGAAGGAGCTAATCCAGGTGGCATTTAGACCATCTGGAGCCCTGGATCCACACATCCCTCCTCCATGACCGTGACTGTGTGAAGGTCCACAGAGCAGGTGGGCTTCCCAGCATGTGCCCTGTGGATTCACACCCTAGCCTAGCACAACCCCGTCACCAGTGTTCATGAAGTCCCCCTCTCTGAGGCAGGCTGCGTCTGCGTCTGTGGTGGTGTAGTGGGTAGGGCGGGGGGGGACCGCTTCCAGCCTAAGGGTAGATGAGATTGCGGCTCCTCTGGGGTTTTTTGTTTGAACCTGGTCCAATCTAAAAGGTGCAACCTTATCGTCCACCCATTGCTCCCTCCCCCAGGTCAGCTAGGTCTTCTCACTTGCTCATTCTCACCCCAAGCCCTGCTCATGCTGCTCCCCCAGCCGAAAATGTTCTTCCTTGGCTCTGCATATCCAAATATCACCCACTCCAGCTCAGGTCCCCGGCTCCTCACAACCCACTGCAGGGCTTGGCAAAGGGTGTTGACACTGACGGAGCACCTACTATGTGCCAGGCACTTTATATCCAAGTAGTTTACAGTCTGGGTCACACAGCCCAGTACCCACCACTTTCCATCTTGCACTGCCATCTTTTCCAGCATGATCATGTCATCTTTCCTATGTGACTGTAAGCACCTGGAAGTGGGGTCACGTCCTAGGCTGCCCTTCCAGGAACTGATTTTAGCAAACATGCTTCAGCTTGTCTCAGACACATCCCTGAGGCAGAGTGAAGAGCAGCCACGGAAGGAGAAAGGAGTTGTCACTGCATGAGAACGACTCATCTCCGTTAACTTTAATGGGACTTCCCTGGTGGCTCTCTTGGCTCTCTCTGGAACACAGATCCCGAAGATGTATCCTTGTGAGATGGCTGAGGGAAATTCAGTGCTCCCACACTGCTTACTAGGGCTACTCCATTCAGAGTGACAGAGGTTAACGTATTGGGGGCCAGCCATCTGGTTTAGGGCATTAATAATTAAATAAGAAAATGTCCCTGGTTTCATGTGGATAGATTGGTGGGTTCCCTTCCCTCTCATCCATGCTCCCTGCATATTAAGGCACAGAGGAATGGGAACAAAGATCAAGTGGAGAAATATCTGTCTTGACTGGGGGGCTTGGGTGTCTCTACACCTGAGGAACTGGGCAGGTGGGATGGAAGGGGAAGAAGGTGGCCAGGAGGCAAGTCTCTCACACCTGCCAACTCAGGTGTGTCCGTGCACCTGTCACGGCTTACACTGGCCCCCTGAGCACTCCTGGAGAACTGACTTGCCCAGCCCTGGGCTGTGCTGTGGAGGATACAAAGAAATAACAGCTCCAGGCCACCTGAGGAGACCCAAAGCCTCACTGGGGGGCTTTGGAAGACTGTGGAGCAGATAAGACTTAGGATGGACAGAATATGAAAAGGGACAGGGTGAAGGAAGGGCATGTTGGGACGTGCACAGCATGAGCAAACGCATGGAGGCAGCAATATGCCGGGGATGGGGCTCCTGGGGGGATAAGGCAGCAAAGCAGTGGTGGGCAATGTGGGCAACTTTGGAGAGCGTTCCCCAAACCTGGGTTCCAGAGAACATGAGCTCAGAAATCTCTCAGACAAAGGGTTCCAGGAGGTGGAAGTTCAGAGAATGCTGCAAGCTGTGTCCTCATCTTGACTCTTCCCGGCCATGCTAGCATACCTCAGGGGCTGAGAAGGCCCTAAGTAAAGAAACTTTCACTTTGTCTCACCCACTGTTTCCCCAACTTACTTTCCCATGACACACTTTCCAGTGACACAGCTCTAGGAGCAGGGTTCCTCAGGATACCAGTTTGGGAAACTCTGCTTGCCTCCATCAAGACCAACTCTGAAGGAAGGCCTGGTCCGGGTCAATCTGTGTCCTTAGAGTGTTTATTCATTTGTTTGCTCTGACACTTGAGGGCCTACCCTGTGCCCGGCACCTAGCATTATAGGGAATGTGCTGCCGACTATCTTACAAGACACTGACATACAGAAAGGGCCCCCCTCCCAGCTGAGGGCCTCTGTTCTGGCCTGGGCCGGCCCTGCAGGCTGGGCAGAGCTTAGAGATGGTGGCATGCTCCGGAGGGCCCTGCCTTCTGCCTGAGGCCCCACCAGCACCAGGACCTGTAGAGTTCAGCCTCTCTTCCAGGTGGCAGCACGCACCTGGCCAGACACCAGCTGCCTATATTAGCCAAGATGCATAAAACTGGGGCAGAGGGCAGACAGACAAACAGATGGCCTCTGCCCTGGTATCGGTTGTGATGACCTCACAGTCCATCTGTGCAAAATCCTCCCCCACCTGCTTCTCTTCCACTC